TGCGCCCCCCTGCCCCTGCCCCTGCCCCTGCCCCTGCATGTGCCAGTGAGTTGGCCTGACCCTTGCCGGGGCACCCATTCTGCCCCATCCTCCTGCCCTACCCCCTCGCCAGACGCGCCCCCCACCTTCAGGCCCCTGCTGCCCTGCGCTCACGTGCCCCCGGCATCCGTGCCCTTGGCCCATGCCCCCGCCGACATGAGCCCCTGGCCCGCAGAGGCCCCGGTGCTGTTCGTGAACAAGCAGGAAAAGCAGGAGAAGGTGCTGGTGCTGGAGGGGGGCAGCGCCGTGCTCTCAGCTGTGGTGTCCAAGGAGCAGGCCGCGGTCAGCTGGGCCGGGCCATGTGGTGCCGTGGCCGCTGGCGAGCGCTGTGAGCTGCGGCGGGAAGGCCGTGTGCACAGCCTGGTGCTGAGCAATGTGGGCAAGGACGAGGCCGGCTGCTACACCTGCATCTCCCGCGACGACCGCATGCACTTCGACGTCAGTGTGAAAGGTGAGGGTGGTGGGCGCTGCACCCGGGCTGGAGGTGGGGCGGCTCTGCGGCACGGCCCCAACCCTGCGCTCCGCCTCGTGCCTCAGAGCTGCCGGTGAAGTTCGTGCGGGGCCTGTCGGACGTGCATGCACACAAGGGCGAGACAGTGCTGCTGTGGTGCGAGCTGTGCAAGGCACGGGGTGACGTGACGTGGCTGAAGGATGGGCAGGTGCTGGTGGCCGGCGGGCGTGGCGAGGCCCGGGTAGAGGGCCGGGAGCGCTCACTGGTGCTGAGCAACGTGGGGCCTGAGGACGCCGGTGAATACTGCTGTGAGAGCAAAGACGACCGGACGCTGGCCATGCTGACCGTGCAGGGTGAGGGCCGGGCTGGCGGTTAGCAGGTGTCGGACCCTGGGGAGGTGGGTAGTGTGGCAGGCCCACGGAGGGCAGGCCCATGGGTACAAACCTGCCAGGCTCCGTGGGTGCTCGGGACGGCCCGGCTCCCTCATGACCCGGGCTTCAGTCCCCAGGGTGGTGGAGATCATCTCGGAGCTGCGCAACCTGACAGTGATGGAGGGCGAGGACGCCACGTTCAAGTGTGTGGTGTCCCCGGAGGATGTGGCACTGACATGGCAGCTGGGGGGGCAGGTGGTCGCACCCTCAGAGCGGCTGGCAGTGAGCAGGAACGGGCTGTGCCATGCCCTCACCATCCGGCAGTGCCAGCCCGGGGATGCGACCACCGTGACGGCCAATGCCGAGGGCCTGGTGAGCGCGGCCCGGCTCAGCGTGCAAGGTGAGACGAGCTGGCGGGGGTGCAGGGGCCGTCCGGCAGCGAGGGGCAGAGGGTGCAGTGCAGCCACCCGGGTCCGTGCAGGCGGCCGGGGCTGTTCTCGGGGGCTTCTTCCCCTGGTGCCTTGGTCTGTTTGGGGTGAGGCCTCCCCTGGGGGCTGCCCGTGGCCTGGGTGGTCTGTTGTAGGGGCCATGGCTGGGGGTCTTGGAGCTCGGAGCCCTTGGGCAGGAACAGGCACAGGCTCCAGCACAGGCCGCTCATGCCCCAGGTCGGGGAGTCTGTGGTCAGCAGGGAACCGGGGGCTCTCTCAGGACACGGGGGGCCCCTGACACGTGGCGCTGGCTCTCTCGGGGCACAGGGTTCCTTGACATGTGGTGTTGAGCTTTGGGGGTGCAGGGTCCCCTGGCACGTAGCATCAAGCTCTTCAGGGTGCAGGGGCTCCTGGCATGTGGCACTGGGCTTTCTCAGGGTGCGGGGGCTCCTGGCACATGGCATCAGGCTCTCTCAAGGCAGAGGGGCCCTTGAAACATGGTGTTGGGCTCTCTGGGTGTGGAGGCCCCTGGCATGCAGCACTGAGCTCTCGCAGGGTGCGCGAACCACTGTGCCAGGCTCTCTTGGGGTGCCCTGGCTCGTGGCGCTGTGGTTTGGGGCAGGACCCGTGACGCGGGGCGGTGGGCCTTGCAGAGGCCGAGGTGCTGTTTGTGCAGAAGCTGCGGGACATGGTGGTGGAGGAGCTGCAGGACGCCTGCCTGGAGGTGGAGCTGAGCCACGCGGGTGCCGAGGTGCAATGGCTGAAGCAGGGGGTGCTGCTGCAGCCGGGTGCCAAGTACCAGCTGCAGGAGGCCGGGCGCCGGCGCGCCCTCACCATCCGCAGCCTCAGCCCCTCAGACCGCGGCACCTACCGCTGCGAGACCCTCCACGACCGCACCCAGGCCAAGCTGAGCGTGGAGCGTGAGTACCTGCCTGCTGCCTGGGCGCTGGCCTGCAGGCTCCCCAGCTGGCGCATGCCCAGGGCTTCCTGGGGTGAGGCAGAGGTGGCCCAGGGTGTGGAGGGCAGGGGAGGCTGCGGGCAGGGTGCAGAGGGGATGGGGATGGGGATGGCCTGGGGTGCAGGGTGGTAGGGGCATGCCAGGAGGGCACGGGCACGGAGAGGGCGATGGGGGCTGAGGGTGGGATGGGAAGGATGAAAACGGGAGCCAGGAGGATGATGCCCCCTTGGCGGGGCTGGGTTTCTGCTGCCCCTGGCCCCATGTGGCAGGAGCGGCCCCCCATGCCAGTCTCTGGGGCAGCCCGGAAGGTGACGGTGCGGAAGCCACTGTCGGACGTGGAGACCTTCGAGAAGGAGATGGCCACTTTCCAGCTGGAGCTGTCCCATGCCGGCGTGGCCGGGGCCTGGGCACGGGATGGCATGCGCGTGAAGCCAGGCCCCGCCTGCCGTCTCAGTGCCACGGGCTGCACGCACAGCCTGACACTGCTGGCGCTCACACTGGAGGACTCGGGCACTGTCACCTTCACTGCTGACAGCCTGCGCTGCAGCGCCCGCCTCACCGTCAGGGGTATGGCTGTGCTATGGGGCACGGGGGCTGGCACTGGGAGCTTCCCTAGAGCAGTGCCATAATGGGACCCAGCGGGGTCTCCGGTGCTGTGAGCTTCCCTGGGGCAGTGCCCTGCCTGTACCCCACTGTGCCCCCTCCTCCTGTTGCGTGGAGCTCGCCGACTCCGGCTGACTCTGGCTTCCTGTCCTGTCCCTCCCACAGAGCCCCCAGTCACCATGGTGAAGACCCTCCGGGATGTGGGTGTCCCCGAGACGGGGGCAGCGAGCTTCGAGTGCGAGTTGTCCCGTGCCTCTGTGGAGGTGAAGTGGTACAAGGTGAGCGCTGCCTGGCCCAGCCTGACTGCGTCCCCTTTGGCAGCCCACCCCCTTCCCTTTCCTTTTCCCCTGGGCAGGGGCTGCCCCTGCTCCAGGACTGCAGGGAGAGGAGCCAGCGAGGGGCAGCAGGCCCTCTGCCCCAGTCCTGCCCCTGCCAGGGCAGCTGCATAGCCCTCAGGGCAGCCCGGTGACCCTGCTGCTCTGGGCACAGGACGGGACGGAGCTCCGAGCAGGGCCCACCTGCCGCCTCTACTCGGTGGGACGCCGGCGCATCCTGCAGCTCAGCCACTGTGGCCTGCCTGACGCCGGCGTGTACACGTGTGACGCCGGTGATTGCCGGGCCTCCGCCACGCTGGTGGTCTATGGTAGGATGGGGAGCTGGGGTCGCACACAGCGGGGGGTAGGGAGGGGACAAGGAGTGCGCTGTCACGTGCAGCAGGACGCCCAGGAGACCCCTGCACATACGGGTCACTGAAACGTCATGGAGTCGTAGGATCCCAGTGCCGTGGGGCCGGCAGGGATCTGTGGGGTCACATCCAACCCAGGGCAGGATCAGGCCCACCCAAACTCATGGCTCAGTCCTTGGCCGCTGAATAAACCAGGGCCAGCGCTGATGTTCTCAGGGCTTTGGCGGCGCTTCCCTGGTGCGTTGCAGCCAGGTCTGGGATGCTGCCGTCACATGCGGCAAGTTTGTCCTTAGATGGTGCCTATGGGGGAGACTGTGGGCAAGGCCGACTCCTAAATATTTGGGGCTGGGCTCAAAGCTGTGACTGGATTCCCACAAAAGCTGCGTCTCAAGTGGGCGTTCGCCAGGTGTCAGTGAGTGAAATGAAGAACAAGCCGTATTGTCAGGCTGGCTCCAATTATTAAACCAGTCTTGCTTCGCCAAGCCCTTCCTGAGGGTGGTTTCAGCCCCGCTAGGGTCAGAGCCCTGCACTGGGATGGCGTCATCAGCGGAAATACGTTTCTTGATTGTGCTCACCTCTCGCCCCCCCCGCAGCAGCAGGCCGGGGCTCTGGGGCAGTGGGCTTCGTCAGGGCTGGGGTGGTGCCAGGACCGGCCCAGACCAGGCCACATCCCAGGAAGCAGGAGGCAACTGGGCCTGCCCGGAGCAGGGGCTGGGCTGGGGGAAAGCCCCCTCTCTAGGATGCCATGACTGGCTGTCCCATGCTGGAGGCGCCTGGCCCCTGGGGACCCGTTCCCTGCCCTCCCCACTGAGACCACGTCCTGGGCCTTGCAGAGCGCCGGGTGCACGTGCTGAGGGAGCTGGAGACCGTGCGCGTGCGTGAGGGTGAGAATGCCATCTTCACCTGCGAAGTGTCGCACGAGGATGTGCCGGGTGAGTGGTTCCGCGACGGCGAGAAGATCAAAGTCTCCGGCACTGTGAAGATTCGGCAAGAAGGTGGGTGAAGCCCTTCCTGCCAGGCTGTTCCCAGGTCCCTGCCTCGCAGGGCACGCTGCGGTCCAGGACCCGTGTGCACAGCGGCTGCTGGCCCGTGCGGTTGCCCACCAATGCCGCCTGGGGACTGCCGTGTCCCCTGCCAGCAGCCGCTGTCAGCGTGGCTCCATGCCGTGCCATGCCCTTCCCAGGGCTGGGCAGGAGCTCTGCACCCGTGGGACACCCCTCACGCCCCCTCTCCCTCCCAGGGACCAGGCACTTCCTGCTCATGTGCAGCGTGCGGCCGGAGGATGCGGGGCAGATCCGGTTTGTGGCCAAGACGGCAGCCTCTGACGCCAGCCTGCAGGTGGAGGGTAACGAGGCCTCTGCGCCTGCCTGCCCCCGCGGCCCAGGGAGTGATGGGGGTAGCACTGGGGGGCTGGCTGGATGGGGCATGGGCCAACAGGGGCGCGTGTGAGCAGGGGGCAGGCCGGATCGGGTAAACATCAGGGCTGTCATGTCCTGGGTCAGAGCCCAGGTCTGTCTTCAGTCTCCTGTGTCCTGCGGTGGCAAGGGGTGAAGGCTGGAAGGGAGAGCGAGCTGGGCACGAGCAGGGTTTTTTCCATGTGCAGCCTCCAGCATTTAGGGTCCAGGCAGTTCTGATGCAGAGGTCGTGCCCCTTGCCTCCTGCTCCTGATGCCCCTTTCCTCCAAGAACGTGTCAACCCCTTGTGAGTCGCTACGCGCTCAGCTTCCACGCCTGGTGGAAGAGCAGTGCACGTGATATACATTGGCTTTCGCAAGGCCTTTGATATGGTCTCCTACAGCATTCTTGCAAACAAGATAAGGAGTCTGGGCTGAATGAATGGATGAATGAATGTAAGATGGTTAGAAAACTGGCTGGAGCATTGGGCTCAGAGGGTAGTAATCAGTGGTTCAATGTCTAGTTGCAGCTGGTATCAACTGCAGTGCCCCAGGGGTCGGTTTTGGGGCCAGTTTTGTTCAATGTCTTTATTAAGGACCTGGAAGATGGGATGCAGTGTGCCCTCAGCAAGTCTGCAGATGACACCAAGCTGAGGGGAGTAGTAGATACACTGGAGGGAAGGGCTAGGATTTAGAGTGACCTCGACATGTTGGGAGACTGGGCCAAAAGGAATCTCCTGAGGTTCAGCAAGGACAAGTGCAAAGTCCTGCACTGAGGAGGGAGCGATCCCCTGCACCGGGGCAGGCTGGGGGTGACGGGCTGGGCCGCAGCTCTGCAGGAAAGGACCTGGGGGGACAGGGGACAAGAAGCTGAACAGGAGCCAGAGGTGTAGAAGGGTACCGGCATCTTGGGCTCCATTGGGAGGACCGCTGCCAGCAGATCAAGGGAGGTGATTCCTCCCCTCTATTCAGCACTGGGGAGGCCACATCTGGAGTGCTGTGTCCAGCTGTGGGCCCGCACGACAGAAAGGATGTGGACAATTGGAGAGAGTCCAGCGGAGGGCAATGAAGATGGTTGTGGGCTGGGGGACAGGACTGGTGAGGAGAGGCAGAGGGAACTGGGCTGATTGAGTCTGCAGAAGAGAAGACTGAGGGGGATTTGATAGCAGCCGTCACCTCCCTGCAGGGGGGCTGCAAAGAGGGTGGAGCTGGACTGGTCTCAGTGGGGGCAGACGACAGGACAAGGAGCAATGGGCTCAAACTGCAGCAAGGGAAGTTGAGGTTTGATATTAGAAAAAACTTTCTCAGCAGGAGGGTGGTGAAGCGCTGGGACAGCCTGTGGCAGAATGCCATCTCTGTCTCCCCAAAGTCTGCTAGCTGACAGACAATCTGGTTACCACGGTCACTGCAAAGGGGCAGAATCCTCTGCCCCATCTCTTCAGGTAACCCTGAGTTGTAACCTGAGCTGGATACAGTCCTGAGGGAGGACACACAAGCTACCTAGAGAGCTGGTGGCATAAAAACCTCCAAGGATAGGCAAAGGTAACTGCCTATCCAGGTAGACAAAGCCTTGCGTGGGATGCTGTAGTTGGGGCTGGTCCTGCTTGGAGCAGGGGTTGGACTAGACGTAACCTCCTGAGCTCCCTTCCAGCCCTCGTTGTCTGTGGTTCTGTGAAGGCCACAAGTGCCCCCTTGAATGGCCCATAGAGGGGACAGGACAGCCTGGGCTTGGCTGGCAGCTGCTGACCTGCTCATCCTATGCCAGGACCCCTGCTCTAGCTGGGCAGAGATGGGCAAGAATAAATCCCCAGGGACTTTCTCTTCCTTAGTCAGTGCAGTGCAAACCCTGCTCCTGTCCTCCTCCAGTGTCTCCTCCAGACTGGCCAGGCCTGGCCTCATGAGTCTCTCTTAGGGAAGCCCGTGCTCACCCCCTCATCCTTGTTGCGTGCAGGGGGTGGGGGGCTGAGGCAGCGTGAGCAGCACAGGGTGGGCATGGGGGTAAGTGGCAGGGCTGTGGGGCAGCTGGGGCAAGTCAGGAGCCATGGGCAGCTGCAGGAAGGGTGGAGGGAGGTGCTGGTCCCCCCCGGCACAGTCTCACCCTGCTGCCATTGCAGCACTGCCCATCCGGATCGTGCGGCCGCTGCGGGACAAGACGGTGCTAGCGCAGCACAAGGCCACGCTGGAGTGCACCGTGTCTCATGCCCGTGGCCGTGTCCGCTGGTTCCGCGGCGACACCGAGATCTTTGGCAGTGGCGACAAGTATGAGATCTGCAACCTGGACTGCTACCGCACCCTCGTCATCCACCACGTGGGCCCCGAGGACGAGGCCACCTACACGTGCGACGCCCTGGATGACCGCTCCAGTGCCCGCCTGCTTGTGGAGGGTGAGGGGGTGCTCTGGGGGGCACCCGGGGCCATGGCGGGGCCGGTGGTGTCTGCAGTGGGCTATGGCAGGGGCAGCGGCTTGGCTGCAGCCAGGGGCTGGGGCCTGGTTCTGGCGGCGGGGCTGGGTCTCGGCCCCTGGCAATCGTCTGGCCCTTGCAGCGGAGAGCGTGCAGGTGGTGCGGGGCCTGCGCAGCGTGGAGGTGGTGGCACCGGGTGAGGCGTGGTTCGAGTGCGAGGTGTCGGCGGCACTGCCGGCCCCGCCGCGGTGGAGCCTGAATGGGGAGACGCTGAGGGCCGGGGCACACGTGGCCATGGAGAGCGCAGGCCGCGTGCACCGCCTGACGCTGCGCCACACCTCGGCCGGCATGAGCGGCGTGGTCAAGGTGGCCCTCGGCAACGCCCGCTCCAAGGCCCAGCTCACCGTGCGAGGTATGTCCCAGCCCGGGGCCCTGTGCCGCAGCCGGGGCCCGCCCTGCCAGCCCGTCTGGCGGTTCCAGCCACGGGCTGGGTTGAAGCAGGCCCTGGGGGCTGGATCCTGCCAGCTGGGGGCCCCTGGCCTGTGGGCCCTGGGGCCAGGGCTGTGCCCTCCCTGACCTCCTGCTTTCCCCAGGGCGCTAGGAGCCAGAGGGCCGCGGCGGCGTGGAGCTCGCAGGCAGATGTGCCTGTGGGGCAGCCCCAGGTCCTGCCAAGCGAGCTGTTGGTGGCAGAAAGGATGGACAGACGGACGGGCCCTACCCCTGCCCCGGCGGGGGTGGTGGCTGCTTCATTATCATTAAACACCTCCATCAAATGCCTCCATCTCTGGCCCATCCGTGCTGCCCAGGCGCGTCCAGCTGTGGGGCCTGGGTGACGGGAAGGGGTTGGTGGCTCTGTGCGCAGCAGGGCTCTTCTGTGCCTGCGGGTCATGGCGTGTCAGACCAGACGCCCCCACGGCCCCGGGGCTGGATGGAGCCGGGACCTACCCCTGGCCATGTGCCCTGGCCATGCCCCCAGCACCCGGCTCCGTGCCCTGCTCTGCCTGCCCCAGGCACACACAGGGCCGCGGCTCCGAAAGGCTCTTTACTGCGCGGCCGCAGCCAGCAGCGTTTGGCACATTTACAAAAAGACTGAGAACGCGCATTTGTGGGGGGGGGAAGGGGGCCCTGCCGAGGTGCCGGGGCCGGCGCTGGGGTGGAAACATGCAGCGTCCGGGGGCTGCCATGCTGCGTGCGGGTGGGACCCCCAAGGGCGACGGCGCAGCGGGGCGCAGCACAGGCCGGGGTGGTAGTGCTGGCGTGGGGGGCATGCAGGCCCCCTCCCCACCCCACCCCACTTCCCAGGGCCTGTCCCTCCACAGCTGGGGGATGTTGGGGTGGGCAGGGGTATCCGCAGGAGCAAAGACAAATCACAGCGAGATGCGTATGTACAAGGCCAGAGCCGCGCAGGGACGTGGGGGCACCTGGGCAGACCTGCAGCCCCTGGGCCCCCAGGACCGGCCCCATGCTGCCTGCCGTCGGGTCCGGTCCCCGCCCCCGCTACAAATACAGTTGCCAGCAAAACAGCAAACTGGTGCGTCCAGGGCCCGGAGGAGAGCGGCCCCCATCCCCGACTTGGCTTGGGCCCAGGGGAGCCGGCGTCCCATGGGAAAGGCCCCGTGTCCTGCACCCGGACGCCCTGTCCTGGTGCCAGTGCCGCCCCGCTGCCCATGCCAATGCCAGCAGCAAGCAGCAGCCGTGTCCGTTGCGGTGCAGGCGGCAGGGCCGGTCTGGGCGTCCAGCCAGGGCCTGATAGGGCGGCTGCCCGAGCCCAGGTCGGGGGTCAAAGACAGGACAAGAATGCCGTGGCCCCCACCCCCATCCCCTGGGGCCCTGGCAGCTGCCAAGTGGGGAAGGAGACAGCCTCACCAGCGCTTGCAGCTGGACCCCGACGGAGGGTGGGGGATCCCGAGTTGGACCCTTGCCAGGGAGTGGGGGGTCCTGGCTGCCTGGGGCAGGCGGTGGGAGCGAGTGGCACAGTCCGGGGGCCACACTTGGAGTATGGACCCCCCCCCGGGGTGCCTGGCCTGGCTGGGGGGGGCAGCTTGGGCCTGGGGGCAGGGGTGCATGG